TTTCACTTCAACGACGTAATCCGATAAAAAAAAACGATCTCTTTACCCGTCGGCTTCCCGTGGCTGTCATGCGACCGGCTATTGCAGTTAATAATACAACAGCTTCTTGCCATTTTTTGGGTTTCTTTTTATCGCTGTGTAACTGAGTTCAATTGAAAGCCTGCGTGCGCTAGTACCTCTTGCCACAAGTTCCCAGAATCCTTTGCGGTTTTATCCCTGAATGACGTCACATTTCAATCTTTATCCTGGTGGGCTGGTCTCTAGTCAAAATGCCCGGGCCGATTTTTTGTCCCAGTCCAGCCTTGCTGGGAAGGGTGAAGACAACTGGGTTGCCCGGCCCTGGCCACGAGGTGTCCCTTATTTATTTTTCAGGGAGTTGGCAACCCTAATTCACGGTCACTGGTGTCTTTACAGGTTTTAAGGAGGTTACCCACAGAACCTTTACGTCTAATGCAAAGCGCACATCTCCGTGTTTTTCAGTTATGGAAACTCGGTACATCTGCCCTCAGATAGGACTTCAAAACCAGGAGCTTTCTAAAAATGGTGCACTTATGATATAAATGTGAAAAAAGAAGGAAGAAAACAACAATAGCATGTGTGGTTTCCTGCCACACCGCAGTGACCGTGACCGTCACCTCCAGCAACTCCCACAGCTCACACTCAGCTTGTTTTTTCCTGACCCGCAATCCGAATTTATCACTGAACAACAGATACGACTGTGAGACGCAGCAAACCGCACATGCACAAACTCTCCCTGACAGTTCAGCAGCTAATTTAGTCAGCTCCTACTAGCCTGGTGGATTTACTTGAAGAAGTGTGATTAAAAGTAGCTGAGGAATCTGCCAGCCCCCACCCGTGGATGTGCAGACAGCCGTCATCGGGTTATTGGGATATGGAGGAAAAACTTCAAAATGTTAAGAGTCTCAGGAAGATTTTCTCCTCTTTATGGAGGCTTTTGTTGCTTTCTGTTTTGGTTACCCAGTTACAGTCCAGTTCCTGTAATAGACTTAAATTACCCGAACCCCACAAGGAATACATTATCCCCCACCTCGCTCTGTAATGTTAATCCTGTCCAAATGGAATGACATCCATGCTAGCAGCTCTGAGAAGTTGCTCTGAAATGTTAATATTTAGTTTATTTAGTAGAATTTCTATTGCTTTGGTTTGTATGTTTTGACAGATAACATCTCCCATGATTTCCTTTACATTCGTGTGCTTCTCTGTTTTGATTGTTAGTCTGTATGTAAAGCGAGAGAGGCTGATGGGGGGAACAGCTGTTTGGACAGGGGGATTAACCTCTGACCCTATGATGTCACCACCTCCTCCCTTGTGTTTGTGTGTGTTGCTGTCCAGTCTTACCTCACTGCCTGTTTAAACATTCACACATCACCAGCAAAATATCCTGGGCACATGTGTGTGTGTGTGTGTGTGTGTGTGTGTGTGTGTGTGTGTGTGTGTGTGTGTGTGTGTGTGTGTGTGTGTGTGTGTATGTTCCTGTCTAGCTATCTTTGTGAGCACCGAAATCTGCATTCTACTATACTTGTGAGAACCAACAGTGACTTGTGAGGACACACTCACCGGTCCTCACAAGTTTGAAAATGTGGTTTTAGTGTCAGGGTTACAATTAGGTCATGGTTAGGTTTAGGGTTAGGGTAAGGGGCTGGGAAACCATTATGTCAATGAAGGCCCTCACTAAGATAGCTGAACGGGGCTGTGTGTGTGTGTGTTACTGATGTTGTGAGGACAAAGAGCTGTAGTCCGCATACTGAGGACTTGACATCCTTATGACGACAAAAAGCAAAGCCCCCCCCCCCGTGACATATGAGTTATATTGCTTGATTAAAACTTGGCTGAAAGTCACCATCAGGTTGGCTCTCCAACAAACTAAGTTACTATGATGTCCTCTGAAACACAGGGACATGCGATGGGGCTATTTTTATGATCAATGAAAGCCATATGTCAGTGGTCACTCTTCTCCCTCTGCCCCTCTGATTCCTTTCCTTCTCTCCAGATGTAGCACTTGTTGCACAAATATCCAGAAAACCAGCAAACAGCCATCGGTATTCATCAACATGAAAATACGATGGCGCAAACTCTTCAAACCATCAATGAGGGTAAAATAAAAAAACCCTTGTGGAAAACCCTTTTCTAAACCAAGGCCTTTAAAGGCCTTTAAAGCATAAAACAGAGGTAGGAACAACTACACATCTGCAGGTGTACACCCCCCACCACCTCCTGCTCTGCAGAGGAGGATTTATGGTTTACTGACCTACAAATAGTCACAGACAGCTATCACTGTTAACCTTTAGTGCAAACAGACTGCCACTTCCTGAGTTTAGTGTTTGAGGCAGCAGCTCTTTCTAAGAAATTTAGGTATGGTGCTGAAAGTTGCCAGGGAAACACCTGGAAAGAAACCATGCTTGGTTAAATAAATAAATAAATAAATAAAATCAAGAGCAAACACTTTCCACCCCTCAAGACAGCGTGGAGAGAATACAGGAATAAACAATAATGCTGAACTTTAAACACCTTTTCTAGACTGGTGAGATGAAAACTGGTGATGTTAGCCATGTAGCAACAGCTTATTACGTGAGCGAACTGATACAATTTACTGCAGACTCCTGGTCTCTTTTTCTAGTAGTTCAGAAAATATGGATGACTACAATCAAAGCATTGTCATTTTCTAATTTTGAGTCAGTCGCGCTCTGCAGGAATCTTGAGTATCTCATACAAAGGGCACCTGACTCTTGGGATCTGATAATCAGCAGATTGCGTTTCTCTTACACAGACACCAGTCCAGCGTTCACGACCTTTGCCTTAATAGCAGAGCATCTGCCCAAAGAGCTCATTGCATAAACAGGCTAATCTCAAACTAGAAAACATCCAAGTATGAACTTAATTACCGTTTGGTATTCAAATGGAGAGCAGCCATCACCAGCACCATGCTCAGTTTCACCGAAAAACACAAAACAGGAAACATCGGGGTAACTTTGCACTGCTGGAGACAGTGAAGTCAATAAATGATGGTGCTGAACTTCTAATAATGTTTACACTGATAAAATGAAAGCTGATAATGCTTTTGCATCAGCAGCCTGAAGAGGGAGCCAATGAGCCATTTGTTAAGACTGAAAACAATCAATTTATGGGATTAGCTCAATCAAAGCTTCAAAACTAACTGCCAAACAGTTAAATTAATACTGTAAATACTGCATTTTCTCTTGGTGTAATACCGGCTCAGATGAGGCCTTAAGCTTGTTGGTAAAATGCTGCCCCCTGCTGGGGAAGGTTTTAAAAAGTGCTCAATTTAAATTCGCAGATTATCTGGTAACATGTAGCTTCCACTCCTGAGAGGTTTTAACGGTCTGACTATGGAAAAGAATATTGAAATGTTTAATTTTTGATTAGTTTTGACCCTTTTCAAATCGTTCTGCTGTGAAATTTGGGATGAATTAAGATAAGCACCTGAGCTGTTTGACAGCTCCGACTCGCTGCCAGCAGGAACGATTAACACTCACTGACCAGGGATCAGATCAGACTATACAACTATTCACTGGCTGGGCTTCAGCCTCCCAACTCTGCCAACCATCAAAGAGCTGCAGGTCACATGACTCAGCTGGAGCAGCTTCACACGTGAAGCCTCATTGAGAGCGTGAAGATCAAATGTTCAGCGCAGGAGTTATTATCTCTGACGGGCTGGAATTTTCTTGAGCTCATTCGCTATAAATTTTGGTGTAAATCTCAGATTTGAGCCTCTCATGTTACCTCAGATTCAAGTCCAAGAGTCCAATATCCGACTTTAGCAAAGTAAATCTAGGCAGAGATCATCTGACAACACTTACAGTAATTTATAAAGAATGTCCAGATTCCTCAAACAAAGAAGAAGAAGAAGAAGAAACCCCAGCAGCATTAAGATAATAAAACACTCCTCGCTATTTATGGGCAACAAAACACAAAAACGGATGATACTGCCAGCAGTGGAGGACTCGGCTGGGACAGAAGAATTAAGCAGACCCATTAATAAAAGCTGCAGTTCCTTTAACATCCACAAGAGGCTGGTGTCAGCAGTGAGTGAGTTCCCGTAGACTCCCATTCAAAACTTTACAGCAAAACTAAACATGTTTACAGCCTGATGCACAATCTGTTAGGTGTGTAGATAATTTTGCCTTCATCACAACTGTACACAAAAAAATGTTTTTATAGCTCACCTGTTTAAACTGTATTAAGGCTTAAAATTTGTATTATTGGGGGCTCTTTGACTGACATGTGGCTGAGGCTGTTAGCGGTCTGCTCGGCTGCACCTCAGCTAACTGGAGTCCCTGAACTGGACCTTTGGACGTGTTTGTGCTGTCAGGGCCTTTGTTAATACTAATATGTGACCAATAACATGGCTGTTGTGAGGTTTATGGTTCAAAGCTAATGTAGCCTTTGGTGATTCACATGTCACGTGAAGCAGGTCAAAAACAACCCGCAGTAAAACTGCTGGTTCGTGTTTGTTCGGTGAGTGCTTGTTTTTTAGCTACAGAGGATTCTGCAGGACATTTGGACGCTGCCCATTTTAAATAAGAACATATTAATGACTCAAATGCGTTTTCACGACGTTTTCAGGGACATGAACGGGAAATTCTGCGTCTCAATTATTTTCATATATAAAGGTTGCGTGGTCAGCACAGCACCATCTCGTGGTCTGAACTGGGATTACATCAAGACCAGCTGGCCCTAACTCGACTTCAGCTGATATCTCTTCAACACAATACACGGATGTCGTGGACATAAAAGTTTGCTCACATCCTGCTGATCGCTTCACATCACTTCATACTGGAAGCTTTACACCAACTTCCAGCAGGAATTTAAATTTGAAGCAGATTTAAGACAAGCTGCACAAACCTGCACGTGTGCATTATTTACTGCACGCAAACATGGCAGTGAACCTGACACTGTCCCTCTCTGTGACAGAGTTATTTATTCACATGCAGGTCTTTAAAGTTAAAGCTTCAACTCACAGACTCTGAAGCCTGGTCCGTGAGAGCCGTCTCTCCTTCCTCCTCCTTCGCCGCCGCTGTACAGTGTCGTCACGTTGCCTCTCTCGCAGTAGTTGACACATCGGTCTTGGCTACAGCGCACCTTGCAGATGGTCGGCGTGAACATCACCTGGATCGTCTCTACTCCTCCCCCTCCTCTCACTCCTCCTCCTGCTGTCTGTCCATCGGCTGGCAGAAGGGAGGTGAAGAAGAAGATGAAGGAGCAGGACAGTGACAGGAAACAGCAGAGTCGCCGCATGTCGAGTGTTTGGAGTCAAAGTTTGCGAGTGTGATGCATCGCCAAAAAACTCCCAAACCTCGGCGCTCTGGCTCTGCCCCGCTTTCTCTCTTTCTTGCTCTGTGGTGGAGTGCGAACGAGCGTCGCAGGAAAAAAGGAGGGAAGGAAGGAAGAAGAAAACACGTTTCCCCCCTCCCCTCTCCCAGTTCGGTTTTTCCCTAAACACTCCTGAGTGAGAGAGCGAGCGAGCGAGCAGGAGAGAGAGAGGGGAGAGAGATAATTGAAAGCAGTGTGCAGGACTGGGCTCCGATCCAAACAAAATGTTTAGCGGGGATCTGGTCCATCAGTCCACACTGAGAGAGCAAGCATTACTGTATCAATCTCTCTCCCCTCTTCACTCCTCCTCTTCTTACTTTATTGGCCTTTTCTTCGGTACAAACAGAGGCCCACTATCTCTGCACACAGTTTCATAACCCACTGCAGAACACTGGAGGACGTCACGGTGGTGATGCAACCCCGGTTTTGGGTTTCTGGGGGTCAAATTCACCAAAAGTTTTAAAGTGGCTCCACGGTGCAGAGTTTGCAACTTTAAACCGACAGAATCCGATCATTTCCTCCACCTGTGAACGCAACACTGACCAACACTGACCTTTGACGCTGATACCATGCCAACGTGACCCAGCATTCAGTGTGTTTTTGCTCTGTGTTTTGTCTCCATCAGCCTCCAAAGGAAGCCCAACACATCCATACACAGTGTAAAAGATGGATGTCACGTGACGAGCGTTTTTGCCGTCGCCATTTGGTGTTTTGAAACCAGATGTGTCAAACGAGGATCGAAGCTTCCATTGAAACTGCAGCCCTGGTGTCACAATCCTCCCCTACTTTATGACTATTTGCTGACTTTTGCTGGAGTCAGCAAATTATTTTGCTTTCCTCTTTTCTATTGCTGGAGGTTTCTTCCTGTTTAAAAGGAGTTTTTCCTTCCCACTGTCGCCAAAGCGCTCGATCAAGGCGGTTGTCTTTGTACTATCGTAGGGTCTTTGCCTTACAATAAAAAACGCCTTGAGACAACTGTTGTTGTGATTTGGCGCTGTATAAATGTAAGTATTGAAGTGCACACTAAGCAGTGCGACTGGTTGGTTATACTGGGAAACCAGTGGAAACAGTCCGTTTTATTTCAGCTGTGTTAAACTGTCTGAGAGAAACCAAAGAACAAATCAAACATGCAAACTTCATATGAGGGTGAGCTGTTCCACACAACAAAGAAACTGCTTTGGACGAATAAGGGATCAAGTTGATCCTAAGGATCTATGTTTCTACCCTCCCTCTCTCTTTCTCTCTGAGCACTAAGGTCTGAGGGATATTTTCTGGAGATCTGATTGGTCAGTGGATCACGATTTCATGCCTGCTGATCTCTGATCAGCTTTAGAGCAGCTTCGCTCTGCAGGGTAAAACCCAAAGGCCTCTCAGCCAATGAGAGCTGAGACAAACTCCATCTGCTCTGAAACTATGAGCAGACGGTTATAAATAAAATCCTAGTATTTAATTACATGTAATAATTATATATTGTTTGATTTTCTAACACTGTGACGTGCACAGAGCTCACAGGAAGCTTCATTGCTCTCTTTTTTAATCAGTGACTTATTTACATGATACACTGGAACATTGCTCACCTTATCTTAATGACCTTGTAGTACCATATCACTCCATCAGAGCACTTCGCTCTCACACTGCAGACTTACTTGTTGTTCGTAGAGTATTTAAAAGTACAGGGTGGGCCATTTATATGGATACACCGTAACAACATGGGAATGGTTGGTGATATTAAAGTCCTGTTTGTGGCACATTAGTATATGTGAGGGGCAAACTCCTCAAGATGGGTGGTAGACAAGGCTGGACTGGGACAAAAAATCGGCCCGGGCATTTTGACTAGAGACCGGCCCTAGGGGCGGAGCGTGGGGGTGGCTTACTGGGCTTAAGCCCGGGTCTTTTTGTCAGAAGCCCGGGGTCTTTTGGAGTGTAATTTTTTCATAGTTAGATGTCTGGCTGACAACTGTATAAAACAAAAAGTACACACAATATTCGAAGCACATAGTGCACACTGTGGGAATTTACGACTGTGCGTGAATCCCCCCCTGATATTGGTATGATCCGAGCTCAGGCACTAAGCGACTGAGCGAGGGGGCGGGGCAGCTGCTGCCTGTGAGTGCGCTGTTGGAGAAACGGAGCCAGCCATACTAAGGAGAGCTTAAGTTTGAGCAGGTACCAAAGCAAAGCATTCGTACTGTACAAATAATGTAAATATGACGTGAATCACGAAAGATTGATATGAAACTGATCACTTGACCCATATTACGTTACTTGCTCTTCAAGTGAATCAACAAATGGCGAAATGAAAAGCCGAACAAATGCTATTTTTATTAATGCTGTTTCTTTAGAGAGTCTTAGCTTACGTGTGTTTATTTCATATTTTCAGTTCTTACCCTCCCCGACTAAATCGGTTTCAGTAATGCACTGAAATATAAGAATGGACATTAGAGGCTTCTTTCAAAGAAAAAACTCAGGTAAATGTTATTTTATATATTATGCTTTGTATGTTGTTCAGTATATTTCTATGCAAAACAAGAGGGGTTTCAGTACACAGCAGGATATTCACATTTATAACCAGATATTTACACTTTAGGGAGAAAACATAAAACATTTTTACTGTACAACATCAATTTAGAGTAAATTTTTGTTTTAGATAAATATTGAAACATCTTTTGAATTAGTTAAATGTCAGAATAAAGAGAGACAGAGCTTCTGTTTTTATCACTTTCATCAAATGTAGGAGTACATGTACACTAAGTTTATTGTAAATTAATAAGAAACTGCAGACGATTCCATTCTGAGCTGAAGAAGCTTCTGATTGGTTCGTAGAGTCCATGTGAGTAAATTGGTGGCACACCTGTGGATGCATATAAGGCAAAACACAGAGCCTGTTTCTTTGACATGGGAACATCAGGAGATGTCAACAAAACACCAGGAACAGAACTGTGGAGCTCCATAAGTGTGGCTCAGTTTGAATACAATTTGGTGCCATTTACAAGAAATACAGACAGTTTCTCTCTTTACTCTTAAAGTTAACAAATATGTTTTTATATTTATCTAAAAAATAAACATTTAGTCTGATTTGATGTTACAATTAAAAAAGTGTTTGTGTTTTGATCTGAAGAGTTTGTAAATATCTGGTTTCAACTGTATATTTGATGATTGTCAGCACAAAGAGAGAGAGAGAGGAACAGAGATGAACAAGAGCAGGTGAGACACACGTGTTAGTCAAATGGTCGTTTACCAAAAGTATCACCGTATCACAGGTCCTCATGTATCTCGTACCTAGTGTTTCTTTTTAGGTTTGCTATTTTTCAAATTCTATATTTATTAAGTTCTGCAGCTTGTTTGCACAACAAGGCTAAATAATTATATAAACTTTTCTCAATCTAAATATTGGACTTTGGTAGAATTAAAAAATAAGTGTAGTGCAGGTCTATGATGATTTTTAGTACTACTTTCATCTAGTTCTGATTCTGGTTCTGTCTTGGTTAAGTCCTCAGTAGTCCTGATTTTGAACTGTTGTAGTCCTGTTTTAATTCCGGATCAGTTCTGGGTCTGGTTGAATTGGGGTTTAGTCCTCGTGTCTTGATGCAGCCCCGACTTTGTTCTGCCTCGCTGCTTAATTAAAAAACTAGTTTAAAGTGTCCTGCATGTGTGATATATATTTTTCCCTACATGAAGTCATTCTTTTTTGAACAAAACTCAAAACAGAGTCTCTTAATCTTTCAGTCATTTCTACCCCCCCCCCCAAAAAAAATAAAAAATAAAAAAATCCCACATGCATACTACCCTTTAGGGCTAAGCCTCTGACCGGCCCACCAGGATAAAGATTGAAAATGTGACGGTATGCCCGATGGCCAGTCCAGCTATGGTGGTGACCATGGTGACCATTTAGAAGTCGGCCATCTTGGATACAACTTTTTTTTTTTTTTTTTCTCAATAGGAAGAGGGTCATGTGACACATCAAACTTATTGGTAATGTCACAAGACAAACAATGGTGTGCTTGGTTTCAACGTAACTTTATTCTTTCATGAGTTATTTACAAGTTTCTCTTTGTTCACAGCCATTGACATGTCGAAGAGGTTAACACGTGAGGAGCGGATCGAATTTGTGTTGATATCTGGTGAATGCAGTAACCGGGTCATTGCAGCAGATTTCAATACAAGACACCCTACGAGACCACCCGTCTCCCATGCTACAGTTAGCAAACTGCTTGCTAAGTTTCGTTAAACTGGTTCAGTGTTGGATTTGCCAAAATGTGGACGCAAGAAAACTGTCACTAATGAAGAAACATCAGTGGCTGTCCTAGCTTCATTCAGCAAGAGCCCACAGCGTAGCACTCGCCGCATGTCACTGGAGAGTGGCATTAGTCGAACATCCCTTCGGTGGATATCAGCTACTCACAAATGGCACCCTTACAAACTCCAGCTACTGCAGCATCTCAACGAGGATGACCCAGATCGGCGCGCAGAATTTGCAGAATGAACAAAACAAAAATTGGAACAGGACCCTCAGTTCACGCAGAAGATTTTGTTCAGTGATGAGGCAAACTTATGTGAATGGTGAAGATAACAAACAAAACCACCGCTATTGGTCTGACACGAACCCACATTGGATGGATCCCTCCAAGACTGTTGGAACAACAAAAGTGATGGTTTGGTGTGGTATATGGGGCACAATGATAGTGGGTCCATTCTTCATCAATGGAAACCTCAAGGCCGCTGGATATTTGAAATTGCTACATGATGATGTGTTTCCCTCTTTATGCACTGAAGCTGGCACGTTCCCTGAGTTTTTCCAGCAAGATGGTGCACCACCACATTATGGGTGCCAGGTCCGAGCATTCCTAGATGAACAGTTTCCTGGAAAGTGGATTGGTCATTGTTGAAGTTGAATGGCCCCCAAGGTCTCCCGATCTGACCCCCTTAGACTTTTATCTTTGGGGTCATCTGAAGGCAATTGTCTATGGTGTGAAGATACGAGATGTGCAGCACCTGAAACTACGGATACTGGATGCCTGTGCTGGCATTTCTCCTGCGGTGTTGCTATCAGTGTGTGAAGAGTGGGAGAAGAGGGTTGCATTGACAATCCAACACAATGGGCAGCACATTGAACACATTTTATAAGTGGTCAGAAACTTGTAAATAACTCATGAAAGAATAAAGTTACGTTGAAACCAAGCACACCATTGTTTTTCCTGTGACATTACCAATAAGTCTGATGTGTCACATGGCCCTCTTCCTATTGAAAAAACAAAAGTTGTATCCAAGATGGCCGACTTCTACATGGCCACCATGGTAACCCCCCATCTTGAGGAGTTTGCCCCCTCACATATACTAATGTGCCACAAACAGGACTTTAAAATCACCAACCATTCCCATGTTATGACGGTGTATCCATATAAATGGCGCACCCTGTAGAATGGGAGGCAGAGCCTTTTCGTCAGATCAGCGATACACGGCTGCTCATAGGGGGCCGTCTGATTGTTGGGCCTTTGCCTCACAGTATAAAGCACTTTGAGGTGAATATTATTGAGGTTCTGTGCTGTATAAATAAAACTGAACCACTGTTGGACTTCACAGGGTGACACTGCGCACTCCAAACCGGCCCCGTGTCACTGAACCAGTAACGGGGGCCCCAGCAGAGGTGAGGCTGTGGCTCTGGCTGGAATAGAGGCTGGTTGTTCCTGTGGGTGTTTTCCTATGAGCTCATGTCCTGACTGACAGACAGAGAGCTGCTGTAAGGCAGAAACAAAACAAGCAATATTATTATTGTTATTACAGCACCACCAGTTTCTTAAGGCTCCGCTCTCACCGCAGGAGTCAGCTTTCACAAATGCTCATAATGATCTGCTCTGTCACAGTTTAAGGAAACGGGAGCTGACGGCCGGCGTTTGATGCCAGCGGGAGCTGCAGGTTTTATTCCTTTTAAAAAGTGAACAACAAAGGTGTGCAAAGGAGGATTTTGCAGCTCACCAACAGGTGCCAGCTAATATTTTTGTTAATGGTACATAACAAAACTCATAAACTCAGTTTTTTTGGACCTGGGTTTGTTTTTATGTTGTCAACCGTTTTTTTTAACTGATAATCTGACAACGATGGACAAACACACAAAAATTATGGATGCATGTGTTCCAGTGATCCTTAATAAAAGGACTCAGATCAAGCCAAACTGGAAACATCTCAGAACCAGCTTCCACCAGAGCTATGAGAAAGCCTCCATCTGCAGCTTTCAGCCGTTCCTGCATGAACCGGGTTCTCCCCAAAGCAGAACAAAGACAGGAACTGTTTACAGGTCTAATCACGGCGATCAGGCCCGGACTCTGACACCGCATTAACGCTGTCCTTATCTGAAGTGCACAATGAAAACATGGCTTCCAGCTCCATTAACACATGGTGGGTGGAAACAAACAGCGCATTCCTGCAGCGCATGGCTGATAGACGCGTGCCTTTTATCCATCAGCACCAACATATCGACTCCGCTCAGGTTATTAGAGAAAATAATGATCCACACGTAGTGGTATGTGAGGCGAATACACGGTTACTCTTACTGTGCCCAAACATGATCGGACACGTTAAGAGCGCTGTGAAATCTGTAACACCACACCAGAATTTTAACTTTTTTTTATTTTTTTGGCATTTTAGCCTTTATTGGATAGAGAGAGGCAGGAAAACAGGGAAAGAGAGAGAGGAAGACATGCAGCAAAGGGTCGGACTGAAACCCAGGCCACTACATGCAGCACATAGTTGCTGAGCACCCACTGAGCTAATCTGGCACCCTTTTTATATGAAATTATATGAAAAAGCCAATATGGCAACCTTAGAGTGCAAAGGGTGCATCATAAAGATTGTTTGTATTTTACTTAAATTTATTTCAGAGTCAACCTCCACCTTTGGTTATTGTCTCATCAGCATCAGGTCCAGTATTGGACACAATTTTGTCTTTTGTGCTATTTTATCAAACTTTGGCCCGTTCTTGATTTCTTCGTTTTTTTGCTTATTTCTCACACTTAAAGTTACAGTGTGTAAAATCTCACCACTAGATGTCAGCAGATTGCAGTTATGTTTTCTTGCACTCCCACTGTAGCATAATCCTAGCTACAATGGCTGCTGTAGGACAAAAAGCTCTCATTCATCTGTGCTGAGTGTAGGCTGTCAGTCCGCTGCTTACCTCAGCTGTTAGTATGTGTCCATGTCTACGTACTCTGGATATGAGTCGATTTGAGCGGGTGACGCTCACGTCTGTCTGATGACAGTGTCACTAAAGCTAGTTGTTGAGTATACCCTGAACTTTTCTGTCTTTTCTGTATTAATTATACATGTGATTAACAAACTATTTAATTTTTTTTATCAAGTTGGTTCCATTAATTGTTGAAACATTAAATACATTAATAAATAATTCAATCAATTTATTTTTGCAATAATGGCCCTCAGTGTTTATTTTTGCTGCTGTTAGCTGCCATTAGCTGCAGTTAACTCCTGTTTGCCTCTGTTCTCTTTCTCTTTGATCCCTAGCTGGCGTTGGGTCTGGATCGACTCCTAAGCCCATACACTGCTGTGGGTGCCAATGGTTGTAGAATTTCCTTCACAACTCGTTGCCATGCATGGCGATCGTTGGCGATTGTCCTGGCCTCATCAAGATTTATTCTGCCCCTGATGTCATCTTTGACCTGTTTTAGCCATGTTTTCTTCGGTGCCGTTCGGTGGATTCTCTACTGGGTGGGTCGTTTATGTCAGAGGAGTTGATGTGGTAGTCTCCTCCCATCCATTCAACACACATGGCCAAACCATCGCAATCAGCGTTTTTGAATTTGCCCCTCAATTGGCGGTTGGTTGTCGCATCTCCGTCGGATGTCCTTGTTTCGAAGGCGGCCTCGAAGTGATACTCGTAATATCTGTCGAAGGCAGCGTATCTGGAAAACTTCAAGTTTGTTGAGGTCTTCTTTGAGCACAGTCCACGTTTCAGATCCATAGAGTAAAATCAGCAGGATCAGCGTCCGGAAAAGGCGGATTTTGGTCAAGATGGAAATATTGGTTTGCTTCCACAGTTTTCTAACAATAACTTCATGTATTAAAGGGGGAAAAAAACTATCCTTTCCAAAGAGTAAAGTTAATAAATCTCCAACTTAACAACGGCTGCAGTTACTTTTTCACACAGGGCTTTAAGGAGATTTTTTTCCCTTCATAAACAAAATCATCATTAAAAAACTGCATTTTGTATTTACCTGGGTTAGCTTTATCTAATATTAAAACTGTCTGACAATATGAAACATGTAAGTGTAAAAAAAACATTCAAATAACTGACATCACTGACCTGTCAGGGTGTTGAAATGGACGCTGTACTGCCCCTTCTGGGTGTGGAACGTCTTCACACTTGTTTTCAGCGAGGAGGATGAGGAAGCATTAAAAGGGGAGGTTGCACTGTGAACTTTATTCGTCTCCCTCTCAATGTGCTTCATCAGCAGGGCGGCCATCTTGTCACCTCTTCCTCCCTGTGACAGAGTCTTTCTCAGCAGCACTGCCTGGACCTCTCTCAGGCTGTTACATACATTATATAACAGTGAACACATAATATGTAGTCAATAAACACAAAAAATACATAAACAAAAAATTTACTTTAAATATACACAAAAACTATCATTTACAATGTAAGAATATATGATTACAATTTTACCATCAGACTAAATAACACTAACAGCTGAACAGGAATAACACTAACAGCTGAAAAAGAATAACACTTACACCTGAACACTAACAGCTGAACAGGAATAACACTAACAGCTGAACAGCAATAACACTAGCTGCTGAACAGGAATAACATTGACAGCTGAACACTAACAGCTGAACAGCAATAACACTGACAGCTGAAAAAGAATAACACTTACAGCTGAACAGGAATAACACTAACAGCTGAACAGCAATCACACTAACAGCTGAACAGCAATAACACTAACAGCTGAACAGCAATAACACTAACAGCTGAACACTAACAGCTGAACAGCAATAACACTAACAGCTGAACAGCAATAACACTAACAGCTGAAAAAGAATAACACTTACAGCTGAACAGCAATAACACTAACAGCTGAACAGCAATAACACTGACAGCTGAACACTAACAGCTGAACATCAATAACACTAACAGCTGAAAAAGAATAACACTTACAGCTGAACAGGAATAACACTAACAGCTGAACAGCAATCACACTAACAGCTGAACAGCAATAACACTAACAGCTGAACAGCAATAACACTAACAGCTGAACAGCAATAACACTGACAGCTGAACACTAACAGCTGAACAGTAATAACACTAACAACTGAAAAAGAATAACACTTACAGCTGAACAGGAATAACACTAACAGCTGAACAGCAATAACACTAACAGCTGAACAGCAATAACACTAACAGCTGAACAGCAATAACACTAACAGCTGAACAGCAATAACACTAACAGCTGAACAGCAATAACACTAGCTGCTGAACAGGAATAACACTGACAGCTGAACACTAACAGCTGAACAGTAATAACACTGACAGCTGAACACTAACAGCTGAACAGTAATAACACTGACAGCTGAACACTAACAGCTGAACAGTAATAACACTGACAGCTGAACAGTAATGGCACTACAAGCTGAACAGTAATAACTGATAGCTAGCAGATAGCTAATTAGATAAGTTCATTTAATAGTAAGTTAATAGTAAGTTATTAAGTTAATCTTTTATAACTTTAATTGTAGTTAGCATCTTTTAAAATAATTTTATTCATATTTACTATCTTTCTAAAACTTCAGCCACTGTTAGCATGTTTTTAGAGAGGTTTTGCAGACACGTGACCACTTAGTGCTTGTCAGCCATTTTGCGTGTGTAACAATCTTGACACCTCAAGTTAGTGAAACACATACCAAATATTATGCAGATAAGATAAACTATGGCAACTATGAGTAAACAAGTGTTGGTGTGAAGTCCCTGGCACTTTCCCGGACTTCATGCCACATGATTTATATCATTATGTTATCAACGATCCCTCAAATTATACTGGAGAAAATCTGAAGCCCAACAAAATTTTGCACGCTTACTAGTATTTTGTGTCAAGATAGGTAACAAACATCAGTCACTGAACTCTGCCTGGAATTGCAGTCACTTGAATGAGTGGACCACGGTCACTGATCACTGCTTAGACATTTACTTGATTTTTTATGACATTTTGACATGTCTCTGCGTATTATTCCTTACACTGTCGACGAGTCAGCCTCGCTGATTGATGACAGTGACACTGAGGTAAATTGTTGATGAGAACTGTTGTAATTTTCTGTCAGTAAGCACTGCTGTTTTTGCCTGTTAGCTGCTGTTAGCACCTGTTTGCCGTTGTTACTGAAAACCTTTGTGAAGTGGCTCTAACTTGGGCACATTCCCACTTAGCTAAAAACTCTCATTTGATGTGAGAATATAATTAAGCTGTTTTTCAAACGAAAAGTACTTTTAGGATGCTGGAGCCTAATTTTAGCTGGCATGATGTTAACTTGTAAAATTATGTTGTTGTTCAGCTGGCCAGGTACTGAGGGCAGCGTGTCTGATATATTTTTAGTCTTCTTTTAAAAAAAAAAAAAGCTGTTTTCACAGGAAATCAAACAGAATGTCAGTTACAGATTATACATCTGACCCAGTGTAGCTCCAGTGTTATGCTTTCCTAGGGCAGTAAACTGAGAGAATGATTTCAAGTGGCCATAAATAGAGTGATAGAAAACAGTGGTGCAGCAGCAGCAGAGTGAACAAACAGCACAGATTAATCTGCTGGAGCTGATAACCACAGAGACGCCCTACAGTCTGATGCAAAGTTTATTTTTCATTCCTGAACTTAAATGTTACAGCTGCCACTTTGTCGCTTTTTATGAGCCACAAAAAGCACAGTACAGACAAAACCGGCTCTAGATTTAGAGCTCTGGAGAGATCTGAAAAGCCTGTTCCAAACATGCAGCTTCTGAACATTATTTCAACTAGAAGAAAAAATATAACTTCAACCAGTTTAACCCTCTGGGGGGGGGGGTGTCAAACTTCTTCCAACCAAAGACTCTATAAATACTCGAGAACTCCCACTTTCTGGAGTTCCTGTCCATAGGATGTTCTTTCAAGCTTGTATGGACTGATAATTTAAATTTTGTGGGGTTAACCTTTTACTTCATCATGCTTTTAGTTTAGACACGTAAATCAGTGCTGGATTTATTAAAAGTAAAACGAATTGCTGTAAATTCAAAAAGCTGTACTTTCAAGATTGTTAGTTAGACCAACGGGTTTTTGAAGCGTAGCCTGTAAAGGTGAGTGCATGCTCAAAATGATGAGTTAACATCGTTTGGTAAGTGACACGATGTTGGCAATATTGATCCGATCCTTACTCAAAATCCTGGATCAGATATCAGCAACCAGATCTATCACATCTGAGTCCGTGTTGTTCTAAGTTTACTTCATCAGAAATGCTGAATGTTTTTTTAACAACTCATTCATTTCACACTGCATCAGTACAAAGGTACCAACAGACACCTAACGGTAAGGTGTTGGTAAAAACCTTCCTCATCAAGAGGAAGTTTCTCAAGCCGTCCTCAGGATGATGTCAGCTTAAGACACTGAAACCACACCGAACACCGACCTGATCTTAATGCAGGTTTGATGTGCAGCTAGAAAAAAAAACTTTAGGTTTTTGTTGATAAATAAGTGTTGATGAATTATTAAATCCTTGTTTAGTCATACCGAAATTATCAGCAGATACCGAAAGCCATGATTTCAAACCAGAGAAGGAAAGAGATGAATTGCTGACACTCTGTCCCAGATCAGAGGGGTTCGGTGTTTATCCAAAATCTACACAAACTCAGAGGCATCCTTAGCAACCCTCTTGTTGTTGTGATGAAAAAAGTCTTTACTGTGAAAAACTTCTGTTTAATCTGCAGCAGACAGAACATAAAACATTCTCCCACAGCCTGTAGGGACCATGGCTCTAACCTTTGACCTCCACCACCTGACCTATGACTCAAGGGTTGTGCTGACTTTCAGTTTGTGAATCTGGATTTCAGCAGAGGTCAGACTCTCCGGAGAAGTGAAAGCTTAGGTCTTTCTTCCCATCTCCTCATCTGGATCTGAGGTGACGGATTTGTGGAACAAAGATCAGGATGGATGGAGAAGTTTTCCCAGCTGATTCTGGAACATTTAAAAAATTTTAGAGCCTCCAGCAGCTTCAGGAAGTAGTGCCTGATCTTTGTACAACATACAGTGCACAGTACAGCGTATATAATCAAATAAATAACTCCACCTGGTGTCTGAACAGAGAACGGCACTGACTGTGCAGTGATGATGAGGAAGAAGAAAAAGCAGGAGAGAGAAGGACAAAGAGGAGCTACAAAACAGCTGGTTAAACTCTCCAGATTCTAAGGAAAGGTGCCTCAGTGCATCCTTCATCATCTCCTTTAGCAAAGGAGACACTGGAGGATCCTTTGTGAAAGGAGAGGGGGTTAGACTGTCCCCCCACCTTAAACACGCTCTGAGCTTAAATAAAGAGAGTTACAGAGTTAAAGTTTCCCATCAAGGTCGAGGAAGAGTGGACCAGAAAAGACTCAGGAGGGATTTTATTTTTGTGACCCAGGACAGAGGAGTGGAAACAAGGAGGTTAGGAAAGGAAAAAGAGGAGATGAGAAGATAAAGAAGATGAGTTTTTTGTTACCTCAGCTTTTTTGCTCCCGCCATCTTTTTCTCCTTCCCCTCATTCTGATCCTCCTCATCCTGTCCTGGATCAAACTCGGGTGGAGGCATTTCGAAAGTGCCTGGTCTCCTCTCCTCTGCTTCAGATCCAGAATCAGAACTCTGATTGGAGGCTGTCAGCCCTTCATCTGGATCTGGATCGAACCGGATTACAGTGGGATATTTTGGGGAGGCTTGGTTCTCCTCACGAGTCAGAAACCGCTTGGAAACACCTCCTCCACTGTCAGCTCCATCATTCTCTTCAGTTTGACCTCCAAAGCCTACAGCTTTGGCAGGACCAGAGTCAGGGACCTTTGTGTCCTCCTCTCCATCAGCCTGAGCAGAAGTCGGGTTCGGGTCTGAAGGTTCAGGTGGAGGTTCGGGTGGAGGTGAGCTGGCAGCAGGTTTGGTGCTTCTCTGGGGGCTCAGAGCTGGTTGTGGTGGGATCCGGAGGGGTCTGAGGTGGACCGGGAACTCTGTCGGGTGGATGGATGTCAGCAGGCGTCCTGGTGCAGAAAGGGGCAGCTGACAGTGGTAACCATGGAAACCTTGTCTGCACACGCACCTGTTAAACTGTCGACACAGCGCCCCGTTACGGCAGGGAGGAGAACACCTGGCTGAAGAAGAAGGAGAGCGCGCTTCATTAACAGAACATTACTGCAGCGTAGACAGCAGTCAAATACCCTGATGTAACAAAGCCGGGCCGATCTCACTGTGAAACCAGCAGCTCATTGGCTAATGGACCATCAGTCATAAGTCATTAGCTAATGAGCATACCACAAATAATCCTCCATTTGAAATGTAGACTTATTATTATTCAATGTGACCCACAACGACAGTCTGAGCCCCAAACTCAGCAGGAAGATGTCTACAGGGGTCAACAAAAAGCTGTTTTCTATGTCTGTTTGCACAGTTATTGCCATCTGGTGGCTTTCAGGCAGAATGCAGCTGTAACACTTATCATTACGCACTTTGTAGCTGAAAGACGGGTTGGTAACATGATCAGGTATAAAAAGAGCATGTTTAGGAGGCAGAGTTTCCTAGAAGGACAGATGAGCAGAGGATGACCACTCTGCAAAAATCTGCGCCTTCAAACTAGAACAGTTTCAAAATAATGTTCCTTACTGTGAACATATATATGTATATAGATATATATAGCACATCTCTCTCTGTGAGCGTCGGCAGCACTGCATTAAAACATCAGTGCATGTGCTGAGGAACACTTCCAGAAACCAGCGTCTGTGAGCAGCTCGACCTGCAGGTTACTGCTGCATCACTCAATCACTCAGAGAAGCACCTGTACAACTGATCTGTGGTCAGACCCAGATTGGGGGGGGGGGGGGGGGGGGGGGGGGGCTGAGATTAAAACAGGTTTTTAACTCTGCAGTTTCTCAGGATAACCAGCGTTTTATTCTTTTATTCTCTTTGGTTTGATCTGCATTTCCTGTCTGACAAACAGAAACTCAGCGCCAGCGTTTCCCTCTGTGAGTCTGCAGACCAACTGCTCAACAATGTGACTAAACACAAAACTTCACTCTGCACGCCCTGAGCTGAGTGTGTGTGTGTGTGTGTGTGTGTGTGTGAGTGTGTGTGTGAGAGAGAGAGAGAGAGAAAGCGAGTCAGAGGCAAAATCTGTTTCTATTCACGAGTTTCTGCTTCAGACAATCCCCATAATCCCGTCCTGAAAGAAACCATTAGGATCCACGTGTGTAAAATTACTTTTATATGTGGCTAATCTGCACAGAATAACAACACACACACACACACACACACACACACACACACACACACACACACACACACACACACACACACACACACACACACACACGTATAATATAATATCCCATTATATCCTGCATGGATTCAGCCCCTGGATCCAGATTAGTCTGAGATATTTTGTCTGGGACGTCCTGATGATGTTTCACAGTCTGATTTGTTTTTGCTGATATGAAGAGAAAAGCTGAAGAACAATCACCCAGTTTATTCTCCTCTCGTTTGGAGCTGAGCCGCTAAACAATAAGTGTTGGAAAAAAAAAATCATCATCTGGATGAACAAATCGATCATGTGACCCTGTGACAGAGGGCGAAAAAAGTTGTTAGGTTTTAGCTAAGAATTCAAATCTGAGTTCAACAGTGAGCGCTCAGTTTTTACGGACTCAGGAAGTGAATTTCCTGCTCATCGTCTCCACTAATGTTTCAGCAGCTTTAGCCGTTTCCATGTTAGCTTCGTTTATCAGCACCAGAGGTTTCCTTTGATTAACAGGAAGAAGCAGGTTCAGATTTTATGAATTAAAAATTAACCGTTAGCTTTGAGAAGCAACTCTGCTTTAAACTTTGTTCTGTGGGAGCGCCTGCAGGTCTGCAGGTGGAGTGCATAAATCCAGCTCTGCATATGGACTCCACCACTCAGCATCATTTCACACTTTAAACTGTGATGCACGCTGACAGCAGCTCCACCTGACCTGCATTATCAGATCCGTCTGTGCAGACTCAGCAACTGGACGCTGGGTGGATGCTATGGGCATCCATCTGGGCTGCACCCTGAGGACCAAAATCAACCAAATCTGCAGATGGATCAGTGTGCATGCTTGTTGCAGGTGTGTGCTGCAGATATGTTAAACTGCGCAGCAAGATGAGTGATGTTGACTAAAATAAAGAACACTTCTAACAAAATTCATGCTAGTGGTGGTTCCCTCACGTTATACTCACGTTTGGTGCATCTCCTAGTTTTAGGCGACAGCATCCATCCAGCACAGCAGCGATCTCCACATACTCGAGGCCTGCAGAGAAAGGAGGCGTTTTAAACTTTAAGACTTGATGTGATGGCATGCCACACATGGTAAGCTCCACACCTCATCACCCGTTGATTCACTTTAGTTTAATTTACAGTCACTACTTTAAAATATTCTATTTATTGTTCAATATCGTTTCTTTGTTAAATGTATTCATTTTTCCATCACACCTTCCAATGTTTATATGGCGTGCACACATATTAACCTTGCAAGGTCAAAGTTCTGTTTTATGTTATATTAATACATCTTTCTTTGTTTGAGTTACCTGGGGGTTGGTGTCTCCTCCTGTCTGGCAAAAGGTGTGGCAAAGGGCTGGGAGACCTGAAGTACTGCTGACAGCCTAATTGGATTGCACCACATGCTTCATTGCCTGGGGGGTGTTTCATGTTTGTTTAAATGTTTTGTATTAGTTGGTTATATGGCAGCCATCTTGTTTTCCCCCGTGTGTGTCATTTGGTTTAGCTAAACCAGTATTTAAGTCCCCCTGTGTGTCATTTCAGCAGGTCAGTTTACCATATGTTTGTTTGAGGTTTTGTTAATTATTATCTTGAGTTGACCGCTTTTATTGGTCTGCCTGTTTAAGTTTTGGCTTTGTTAAATATATTTTCATATTTTTGGGTCAATAAAACCCGTTTTTTGAATTAAAACCACCTGTGTCCTTTATGCTTTACTGCTTGGTCCCTGACAATTGGTGGCAGCAGTGGGATCATCCAGTATTGGACACAGGTCTTTTTTCTTTTTCTTTTTTTCTTTCTTCTGTTTTTCCCCATGAGGAGGAAGAATGCATCGTGGTGGCAAGAATGAAAAGAAAAAGGGATCTGCTCAGCAAACCTGCGAAGAGGAGGAAAATGGAGCCTCAGGAGTCACTGAAGTTGTGGAGAGAGTTGAAAAGGAGCCTACTTTGTCTGATCTAGTCAATATGCTACATGCTCACATGGAACAACAGGACATCCGGGATGCAAAACAGAGTGAGTTAAATGCACGACAAGAACAGCGATTTAAAGCCTTTCAACATCAGTTTAGACTTTTGCAGTCAGAAATCCAAGTCAGAACATCACCATCAGATTCTGCAGAAGCTCGCTCTGAATCATTAGAGTTTGATATTCATCCTTCTTCCTCTGTTCAGCAGGCCCAGGCTGAACCAGTTATGACTAATTCCAATCCAGCCATTTCACCAGCATTTCAGTTTCCCCTACAAATAGAGGGCAGATTGGAAAGATTAACTGAAGCTGATGATATTGAACATTTCCTGATCACATTTGAACGTATGGCTACAGCTTATCGATGGCAGAAGTCAGATTGGGTTTTTCATTTGATACCCTTGCTTACTGGTAAAGCTAGAGGTGCCTATGTTCACATGGACATTGATGATTCATTAGACTATGATAAAGTGAAATCAGCTATTCTGTCAAAATATGACATTAACCCTGAAACATATAGGCAAAGATTCAGATCCCTGGACGTTCAACCAGATGAAAGCCCTCGTGAGCTATATGCGAGACTGAAGGAGCTTTATGGGAAATGGATCCAGCCAAAGGGTAAAACTATTCATGACATTGGTGAAACTATAATCTTGGAGCAGTTTCTCACAATGTTATCTCCTGAGCTTCAGGTTTGGATCAGAGAACACAACCCTGGTTCAGCAATGGAAGCGGCTCGGTTAGCTGATGTTTTTGTTGCTGCCAGAAAGAAGGGGCAAGCATGGAGCCATAATGCATGGAAGGTATCGAGGGACACCCGGAAGATACCTCAGCAAAACCATCTGGATTCAGCAAATACAAGCACCAGTAAGAGCTCTCAGTCTACCACTAGACCACCAAAGGCCTCTGGTAAGAAGCTCATTTGTTATCTTTGTGGATTAGAGGGCCATACAAAACCTATGTGCCCAAGAAATTCTGCTAAAATGGTGCAAATGTGTTTTGCTCCTCGTTCTAATGCTGATCCTGAGCAGGAGAGTGACAAATCCATCAAAATGAGCCAGATTGAAGTGAATGGGTTTCTACTCAATGCCCTTCTTGACTCTGGCAGTTCTCGGTCTCTTATTCACTCAGATTTTGCCCCACCTAATATTGTTCGCACCAGTGATACAATTTCAATCTGTTGTGTCCATGGAGATGAGAAAAGATATCCGACAGCTGACATCTACATTAAAGTTCAGGACCAGATGTATCTGCTGAATGTGGGTGTTGTGAACAGTTTGCCTTACTCTGCCGTGTTAGGGCGTGACCTTCCTGTGCTTTTTGATTTGTTGGAGTCTGAGCAGACTGAGGAGTGCAATGTAGCTGTTACCAGAGCTCAGGCTAAGCAAGTCAGTACCCACTCTGAGACCCTGAGTGCCCTGCCTTTTTTTAATGAGGAGTTTGAGACAACTGTGGTGAAGCCACGGAAGACCCGCAGACAAAGAAGGCAGGAGAAATTCAAATTTTCACCTGTGGATACACTAACAGACGCTGAGCCAACACCGTCACCCCTAGGGTTTAATATTCCAACTGAAATTGCTGAACTCCAAAAATCTGATCAATCTTTAATATCTCTTTTCCGGAAGGCCAAAGAAAAGGAACCTGGAGTGGAGCAGGTTAACAGTGAGTACATCTTGCAAAATGACATTCTCTATCGTCAGCAGGGGTCGGTGCTGCAGCTGGTGGTTCCCCAGAAGGTTAGAAACGCCATTCTCACCTTAGGGCATTCTATTCCGTGGGCTGGCCACCTTGGTAAACACAAGACCACAGCTCGCATCAAACATCATTTCTACTGGCCTGGTCTTAGCAAAGATGTGGCTCAGTTTTGTAAAAGTTGCCTACAGTGTCAGATAACATCTGCTAAAATCCCCCATAGAGCTCCACTCCAACCTCTCCCTGTCATCGGCACTCCTTTTGAGCGTCTTGGAATGGATATTGTAGGGCCTGTTGAGAGGAGCAAAGCAGGAAATCGTTACATGCTTGTTGTAACAGATTATGCCACAAAATATCCTGAGGTGTTCCCTTTAAAATCTATAAAGGCCAAGCCCATTGCATTTTGTTTAGTGCAGTTCTTTGCAAGAGTTGGGTTTCCACGAGAAATACTAACTGATCAAGGCACTAACTTCATGTCTACTCTGTTAAAGCAAGTTTATCAGTTGTTGGGCATCCGGAGTCTGAGAACTTCACCATACCACCCTCAAACTGATGGGCTGACAGAACGGTTTAACCAGACATTGAAACAGATGCTCAGGAAGTTTGTCAACGACAGTGGTAACGATTGGGATCAATGGCTGCCATATCTACTCTTTGCTTATAGAGAAGTCCCCCAAGCCTCCACAGGTTTTTCACCTTTTGAGCTGTTGTATGGTTATGAGGTTCGTGGCCCTCTAACTCTGTTAAAGGAGATTTGGGAGGGAGACAAGGTGGAGGGGGGATCCAAGAACATTTTGTCTTATGTCATTCAGATGAGAGAACGGTTGGAGAAAATGGGTGAACTTGCTCAATCACATATGGTGGAGGCCCAGCAGCAGCAGAAGTCTTGGTATGATAAATCTGCTCGTCAGTGTGCGTTTGAGCCAGGACAAAAGGTGCTCGTGCTCCTCCCCAGTGACAACAACAAATTGTTGGCAAAGTGGCAGGGGCCATTTGAAGTCATGAGGAAGCTGGGACCCACCACATATGAGGTGTCCACCCCAGGGCAGTTGCGCTCCAGCAAGGTCTTGCATATAAACCTTCTGAAGGAGTGGGTGGAGCGTATTGAACACAAGGCAGATGCAATGCTCATACGGCGAGTGCCTGAAGAAGATGAAGCAGATGAGCAATATTTACCACCTGCTGGCTCTCTGGATTATGATCTCAGCCATCTCCCAGAGGACAAGCAGCAGCAGGTGAGAGAAATGTGTAAATCAGCAGTCTTTCAAGAGAATCCAGGGAGAACTGACATTGTCGAACATGATATTGTGGTACGAGAAGGTGCCTCTGTGAGACGATTAAGTTACAGGATCCCAGAACGTCTGCTGCCTTCATTGAAGAAGGAAATCGATTTGATGCTATCTCTAGGGATCATTGAAAGATCTAAGAGTGAATGGTGCAACCCTGTGGTCTTGGTACCCAAAAAGGATGAGAGTATGAGGTTCTGCATTGATTTCAGGTACCTGAACTCCATATCCATGTTTGACTCCTACCCGACACCAAGAATTGATGATCTACTTGAACGTCTGGGAAAAGCAAGGTACCTGACCACAATAGATCTGTGTAAGGGTTACTGGCAGGTCCCACTCACTCAACGGTCCAGAGAGTTCACGGCATTCAGAACACCATGGGGGCTTTTCCAATTTACAGTCTTGCCATTTGGACTACATGGAGCTCCAGCAACTTTCCAACAGCTGATGGATCAGGTAATTACATGACTGCTCTGACTTTGCTGCTGCTTACTTGGATGATATTGTTATCCACAGCAACACCTGGGAGGAGCATGTGGAACACCTGCGAACTGTTCTGGACCACCTGCACTCAGCTGGGTTGACGGTGAATCCGTCAAAGTGTGTTTTCGCCGCTGCTGAGACAGAATACCTGGGCCATGTCATCGGCAAGGGGGTTATCAGGCCACAAGTCAGCAAAATCGAGGCCATGGAATCATCCCCCCTGCCCCAAACAAGGAAGCAGCTGAGATCCTTTTTGGGCATGGCAGGTTTCTACCGTCGTTTCATCCCTCAGTTCTCCAACAGGGCAGCTCTGCTCACAGACCTGACGGGATCACGTTCCCCCAATTACATCCAGTGGACAGAGGAGGCAGTGGCAGCGTTTCATGACATACAACAGTCACTAAGTAAGCAACCGGTTTTGTACAGTCCCAACTTTGATGAACCATTCATATTACAGACTGATGCTTCAGATCGGGGCCTGGGAGCTGTCCTCCTTCAGGAAACCATGGAAGGCCGCCATCCAGTGGCTTACATCAGCCGGAAACTGTTTCCACGGGAAGTTCGGTATTCCACAGTAGAGAAGGAGACCTTCAAGTGGGCCCTG